ACGGGGGACGTCCAATGGTGAGCCCTGCTGGCTCACATGATCCTTACCCACCAATCAGACTAGCCCTGCTGGCTCACCTGATCCTTACCCACCAATCAAAAAGCACCCATGCCAACTGTCAAACCGCCCCTGGCTCTATAAATATGAAGAGCTCTTCCTCAATAAATGGGCATTTTCTCCGATGGCAAGCCTTGATCGTTCTTTCATATTGACTGCCTTTTTTTTTTTTTCCTATTCAAGTTGAGATCTCCCTGGCTCTTGAGGCGGTCGGTGATTCCAACGGCAACCTTGACATTCTGAGTATTTTTGTGAGACTCTGGATTGTGTGTAAACCTTCTGCACTAGCTGACTCCCTCTGACGCCGTGCTGAATGGAAGGGGTGCGCTGCCCCTCACTCCCAGGTAAGGGTGGGAGTCTGGACTTCCCGCTGGGCCACCTTTGGCATTTAAGACGGAGATGATTCCTGGTTAATGCTGAGCAGGGTTGGGTTCTGGCTCCAACGAGGCCTCTGGCTGGGAGGGGCAAGGGTCCTTCATTACAGCCCCTCAAGCAGCCTCCACTGACCCATGGGGAGGAGCCATGGTCTCATCACCGTTAGGCAAAAGTCCTCTCACCTCTGCTTCTCCTCTGGCAGGAACGGGCTGGGAGAAGGAGGCTCTCCTAGTTACTGCCTGGTGGAGGCTGCAGCCTCCGTTCCCCATGTGGCCTCCACTACACTGGGGGTGGGGCTTCTTACTGTCCAGTGGGTGGGCCCCCGACTCTGGCAGCACTTGGGTAAACAGGGAGGTTGAGCTGCCTCATTAAAGCAACATGGGTTCCCCATCCCTTGCTGGCCCAGGTCAGGTGGAGCCACCTGTTGGCTTTGTTCCGTGCCTTTGGGCATCTCTGAGTTTCCAACTTCAGCCCGAGTCTGGGATCAGGACGGAACTCACCAAAGCGTCATCCCTGATCCACCTCCCAGAGTCTTCTTGATTAATGTCTTAACACCCAAGGATTCCAGCTGCACTGAGCAGGGGGAAGAGGGGAAAAGAATGTCGACTCCGGCTTCCTGGACGTGGAATTCCTGAGCGTTTCTCCTTCTGATCATCCCGTCTCCTCTCACACTCCAAAATGTCAGCATTAGGAAAACGAGAGCCTTGTTGGCTTCACTGCGATAGCTTGGCACCTAGCACAGTGCCTGGCACATAGTGGGTGCTCAATAAATAGTCGAGGGGCGAGTGAATAAATGCAGACCCAATGGAAGCGGCTAAAACCCGGTACGGAAATGCTCCTCTGGTGTCCACGTGGCTGGGGGGCTCAGCGCTCCCCTGTCCCTCTCGCCCTCAGGCCCCAGAGGGCACCGTCACGGGACAGAGTTTGGAAACTCAGGCTGGAACCTGCACTGGCGTTTGTGGCTGGCATTTCTGAGCTGGTGCAATGAGACCTGTGGGTGGACGGCCTGGTTTGGGGAGCCGAGGGCAGAGTGGACACTGGGCAGGAGAGGGGGTGACGGGGAACGGGGGTGTCCACCTGCTCTGCCCTCTAGGAGCTGAAGGGGAGGGGCGGAGGGGGGCTGAGGGGCGGCTGCAGATCCACACGAGCGCCCCCGGCCCTGCCCGGTGGGAGGACGGTTCCCTGTCCGAGGTGGAGCAGGGCACTGCCGCCCAGCCCGGCCCTTCTCGCCTAAGAGTCAGCAGGCGGGGAGTTGGACCCCACAGGCCCCAGGGCCCAGCTCCCTGGCCACGGCTTCAGGGGCCCCTCGGGCAGCCACCTCCCTCTCCCTCCTGGTCCCAGGGAAAAGGAGGCCAGAGCCTCGCGGGGGAGGAGTAGAGGCAGCTTCCTGCTGACCACGCAGCCACTCGGCGGTGACCAGCACAGCAAAGTGAGTCTCCCCAGAGGTTTGGGGGCAGCCGCAGCCCTGCCCACTAAGGATCACTGCCCCGATGCCAGCTCAGCTCTGCAGGGAGGAGGGAGCCTGTCCTGCCCATGCCGCCGGGCCCCGGAGGCTGCAGGGGAGGGAGGCCGCCGTGAGGCCCTGGGCCCCGCAGAGCCTGGGCGTCGGCTGCAGAGAGGTGCCCAGGAGGAGGAAGGACGCACTGGACACTGGGCCACTCTGCTCTGTGACCGGGGCTGGTCCACCACCTCCATCCCTGGAGCCACGCGCTGCCCGCTGCCTGGGGCCCGGGTCTTCTTGCTCTGGGGACAGCAGGGCAGAGGCGGAGGAGGGCAGGCAGGAGGCTCCCAGGTGTGGCCCTGCGGGTCCCCTGGCTCGCAGCGAGTGTGGTGGCCTGGCCAGGCTCAAGGTCACAGCGTCCCTGGTGGTCACGCTGAGATGAAGCAGGAGCCTGTCCCCATGGCCATCCAGCCCGGCTGCACACGCGTTCTGTCCTCCCTCAGTGGAGGGGACAGTGGTGACCCTGAGCGCTGGGCCTCCTGAGGGTCACGCTCCCCAGGCCCCGTCACATGCCCGTGACCAAAGAACGCCACACGGTGGCCCCGTCACCGTCACAGGAGAGCCCGCAGCTCCCGCTGGGTCTTTGCATCGCCCCCAGGGACCGGCCCCCCACCACCAGCGCCAACCGCCAGGGCTGGCCCGGCCAGCTCAGATGGCCGCCTGTCACACCCCCGACCCCAGCCCCAGTGGACACCGATGAGGCTCCGTGGAAGTCCCAGGGCAAGGACCGCCCGGCGGAGCCCAGGGACACCCACTGACCAGGAGGCTTAGGTGACCGTGGGCTGCTACTTCCAGCCACTGGGTCTGGGGGTGACGTGCCACTCCTCTATAGGGCGCTGCGTGCTTGTGCGAGCCCTGAGCCATGGGACAGGGCTGTCCCCATTTTATAGCCAAGGATGCTGAGGCACAGAGGGGTGAGTGGCCTGGCCATGTCCGCAGCTGCCAAGGGTCAGAGGCAGGATGTGACCCCAGCTGATCCCAGAGGACACACCTCCCACTGTCCCTTGTTGCCATGGCAACCAGTGGTGGCCAGCAGGGCTCTCTGAAGCCAGGGAGGTCAGACTCCTGCTCGGGGGACTTCCTGGCTTCTCAGAGCGAGAGCTGGTGCTCAGCAGCCACTGAGAACCTTGAGGCCCCCAAGCATGACCCAGCCCCCGCAAGGCCCCAAGCACAGGGGTGAAGAACGAGGCTGATCACCTCGCAGGCTCAGTGACAAGGACAAACAGGGTGGCCCTAACAGGCACCAGGCGCAAGTCCAGTGGGAATGTGGGCCACTTGGGAGGCAGAAGGAGCAAAGGAGCAGGCAGGAGGGTCCTGGAGCACGAAAGACCCCCGAGGCCAAGGCTGGCAGGCTGCGCTGGAGACCCAGAGCGCCAGACTGCAGTCAGAGGCTTCCGGAAAGAGAGGTCTGAGAAGAAGAGACGCCTCAAGATTCTGCCCCTCCAAGCTGTGTGACCCAGGGCAAGTGACCTGACGTCTCTGAGCCTCAGTTTCCACCCAGAGCATGAGGTTCCTGTCTGTGTTCCATCTACCTTCAGCAGCGGTGATATAAAAGGAGCCGCTGTTTACGGAGCACTAAAGGCACCGAGCACAGGCCTAGCCTCGAGCCCTACCCTGAGGCTGGCTACCTGGGGCCAGCTCCTTGACTTCTCTGTGCCTCGTGCTCCATGATGATTCACGACTTTAGTGCTCAACAAATGTAGGGATCTTTGCACACGGTCCACTCTCAAAAAGTTAGCCCCCTTCCTTTGTCCACTCCTCTGGGTCAGGGTGACTGTCTTCCAAGGTCAAACTCAGGGGAGGGGAGGTGGAGGGGCCAGAGCCAAGCTGCTTCCCTGGACGGTTCTGCTTGTGGGAAGAGGATGGTGTGAGCAGGTCGAGGCCCCTTTAAGGCCAATCCCTTTTGACTAGTGACTCCAGCCGCTCTCATTGGCTCCAGGAGGGTCACGTGACTTCGCTGAGCCCAGGGAAGTGTTTCTGACCGTACTGGGAAGCAGCCGTCTCTCTGCTGGTTCCGCTACATTCGTGAAAGGCCAGCCTGGGAATGCACCAGGTGCCACCTTTGTCACTGCCCCGGGGAAGCTGCTTGAGGACGAAGCTGACACAGAGGGAACAAAACAGGAAGGAGGGGGGGGGAGAAAGACTGAGCTTTGGATGGAAGCACCCGGTCACCTGGATCCAGCTGTACCTGAATGAGACTTTTGGGTAGCTCATCAGCATCCGCTCCACTCTTTTGCCATTTGAGAGATTTGGACTCATTCCTAGCTCCAGAGGCGGGCCTGGCTGGGCTGGGCCCATAAGCTCATGGCACTGTCCCTGGCCTTGGTGGCAAATCTGGATACAGAAAATGACCCAAGCCCTTCGGAGGGAGAAGCAGGCGTGAGGCCGTCCATCACCAGCCTCCTCAGCCCTCTGGCGCCATGAAGCACAGCCTCTCCTCCTGGCCTGGAGTCGGGCGGCTGGGCTTCCCCATTCCAGGGCCAGAGAGCCCAGGAGCCACCGGGTCTTTCACTTACACCCTGTGTCCGCCCACAGGCTGGTCCCCTGTGGAACTCTGAGGCCTGGCCCCTGCACCCAGCGTCCCCTCCTACCCTGGGCACCACCCAGAGACTTCCCCGGCCCCGGGACCCCATCTCCCCCTGCAGAGCTGGCCCAGGGCAGCGGCTGGCCGAGGCCTGAGAGCAGACATTTTAGGCCGGGGGCCATTCGGTCTCCGTGACAACGCTCGGGGCCGGGGATGTGCGTGAGAGCGGTCACGGAGGGGACCCCGCAGTGCTCCGAGGAGGACTGTTCACAGACGCTCGGTCCTGAACCCTCACCTGGCCCAGCACCTCCCTCATCGGTTCATTCCCAGGGGCTTGAACATGGGGTCACCACCCGGAGCCCGAGGCCCCTGGGGACTGGGGTGAGCCGGGGGTCACTCGTGGCTGTGGTCTGGAACCTGCCCGGCTCTGGGGCCCGTTGAGTCCCGGCCGCGGCTCCTGCCCGCCTGGCCGGGCCCCTGAAGCCCCCCAGGCCCCAGGGCCCTGGGCCTGGCAGGCTGTCACCTGGAGGTGACGCCACTCACCAGAAGGACCATCCGTAGTCCCAGGAGTGCGGCCTCCAGTCTTCAGGGCCGAGGCTCACGGTGACCTGGAACACCTGAGTGTACATCATGTGGGCGACCATCCCCAGGAGGCCTGCGGGCGGGACAGAGAGCGGTCAGCACCCGAGGAGCCAGAGGGGACCTGCTCCCCAGCCCCAGGGCCCTGAGCCACCTGCTGGGGAGGGAGGGTCCTCCAAATCAAAGAGCCCAGGCGAGGTCAAGGGCAGCCCTGGGAGACGTGTGCCAGGGCAGGTCAGCCACCGCCAGAGCCTTTCTGCAAAGGGCGGGTGAGTACGCGGCCCTCAGGTCTGGTCTCTGTGTAAGTGAGCGTCCTGACTGTGTCCCAATAAAACTTTATTTACACAAGCAGGTGGGGGGCCGGGTTCAGCCCACAGCCGAGGTGTGCTGCTGCCTGTGTTCCAAGGTCTCCGGGGACAAGCAGCCTGGGGCATGTCCCTCAAACTGCAGCTGGGCCTATGGCGCACGTGGCTCAGGAGGCTGAGGCAGGAGGATCACGAGTTCAAAGCCAGCCTCAGCCAAAGTCAGGTGCTAAGCAGCTCCGTGAGACCCTGTCTCTAAATACAATACCAAGTAGGGCTGGGGACGGGGCTCGGTGGGTGAGGGCCCCTGAGTTCAATCCCCAGTACCCTCCCCCCAAGAAAAAAAGGAGAGGAGCTATCCGGTACCCTCGACTGTAGCAGAGTGGAATATTACTTGGTTAAAAAAAAATTCAGCTCCGTGTATGTGCCCGTGGGTGCAGTGATTAGAATGTGGGTTGTGTGGCTCAGAAGCTCTGGCTTGGAGAAATTTTGGCCTCAGGGGATCCGAATGTGAATTGTCTTCCATCGGCATTTTTCCTGTGTGGCCCTGGGCAAGGCACTTCACCTCTCTGAGCCTCAGATCTTTCCATCAACCCCCAAATGAGGATGATGGCAGGTGCGCTGGGTCACCAGTGACTAGAGGCAGGAGGCCTCGGTGCCTGGTGCCAAATGCACATGAGTCATTTCAGGGCCCAGGGTTCTTTCAAAGCAGGGCACTTCTCTGCGGGAAGCGGGTGTGTGGACTGGGGTGGCTGGAGCCCTCGTGGGTACCACAGCATGTGGCTAAGCGACAGAGTTAAGCTTAGGAAGCAGTGATAGAGTGAGGAAGCCACCATGCTTGTGCGCCTTCTGTATGCCAGGCCCTCTGTCAAACGCCTTCACCTCCCACGTTCTCTCTCCTCATCTTCATAACAACCCGCCAAAGTAAGGAGCATGATGAGGGCCCATGCACCGTTGTCCAGGTTGCCCACTGCACATTGCTACAGGAAGCGGCTCGTCTCACAGTCTGTGAATGCCACTCCCTGACTGAGGCGGTCACACCTGCGAGCTGTCTGTGGCGGCTCTGATTAGGATCATTCCTATTTCAAAGGAAAGAAAATGAAAGCTCCTGGTGGTAAAGTCGGTCCAAGGTCACGCTGGGGATGGCTCTGAACACCAGGGCTGCCTGGAACGCGCCTGTCCCTCGCCTGGCTGGCCCCGCCACCACTTCCCTTACTCCTCAAGAGGCGGCCAGAGAAAGGGTGGCGATAAGGACAGGAGTGGGGACAAGAAAGACAGAAGCGAAGAGGGTAAGAGTACCCAACCAGCCTGGGGCGGGGGACAGCCTGCCTTCCAGGGTGCGAGGTGAATGTTCAGCGAATCTGAAAAATCAAAATAGAAAGGAAAAGGGGGACGTGCCCTAATCGGCAGCATTTGCTAATCCTCAGGCAACCAGTGCCGAGTCCCTGGGAGCGGATCAGAGGGGCTCCTCCGGCCCCAGTGGACCTCTGCGTCTCTCCCGCCCGCCACTTGCCCCAGGTCCCCTCCAGCGGAATGCCCCCCAGTCCGGCTCCTTGGAGAGCTACCTGAGCTCCCAGCTCCTCAGACTTTCCACCTGTGAAGTGGGAACCACGGGCAGGGACATCTAAGGAGCTTGGGCGAGGAAGGGAGCGAGGCTGAGCGCAGCGGCCTCCTGGAAGGACGGGAGACGTGACCCGCGGTGTCTTCACGTGTCACCTCCCGCTACGCCGGGAAGGCGAGGCCCGGCCTGCGGCGGAATAATTAATGTCCCCAAGTCTTAGTTGAGAGGAGCCTCGATTCCTAAATTGAATCCCATTCACCCCCCACAGGAGAGGCCGGGCTTTGCGGAAACGCAATAAGTGAAAATCACGATTCGCTCGGAGGCACCTCGGAGGGACTCCCTGGTCGCATCTCAAAGACTCTGCTTCCAAAAATGGGCCCTCGGGAGTTTGCTCTGTCCAGCGGGGTCCGCGGCCGGGGGGACGCTCCCAAGGCCTCCAGATCGGGGGGCGACTTCCCGCGGCGCTGGGGCACCTGAGCCTCACCCTGAGGTGGGGACAGGTCCTCGCTGCTCGAGGGGATCCTGAGAACCCTCGGGTGCAGGATGAGGTCAAGGGCCAGAGCCGGGCTGGTGGGGGCCAGTCCGAGGCCAGAGCAGGAGGAGCTGCCCCCGCTGGCCAGGCGCAGAGCCGAGTCTGTGGTCAGGGCCGGGACCACAGGAAGTGACCTTCTTTATTTTTTTAATTGATTTTTTTTAAAAATCAGCGACAGCGGGATGCATCCCAGTTCTCATTACACACAGGTGTGTGCACTGAAAATGGCCCTGGGCACGCGGGAGCCCTGGGTAAGTGTCCTGCGGTGGTGAAGGCGCACGGAGCTGAGGCGCGCGGAGCCGAGGCGCACAGCGCACGCCACACCGCGGCCCGGGTCTGTTTTGCCTCCCACTGGCTCCCCAGCACCGCGCCCTGTGCCTGGCACACAGTGGATAGTTGATGTGTTTGTTGAATGAACAAATGACCATCGGTTGCATTGGGTGGAGACGGATGGTCATGGGGGAGGAGGGAAGAGGGGACCCAGAGGAGAGGACATCGCCAGGCCAGGCTGAGCTGGGCTGCTTGGACCAGAGTTGGTGGCAGCTCTGGAAGTCTGGGCGCTCTGGTTTGAATGTGTTCCCCCAAAGTGCCTGTGTTAGGAACGGAAGCCGCGGATCCATCCGCTAGTGAGTGTGGAGGTGGGGCCTTTGGAAGGTAACTAGGGGCAGCTGAGGTC